AATATGATAACTTAGATGATTCTGATGAATGTATTCATACGCAATCAATTAATATATGTTTAAGGTAAAACAACATTTAGACTATTAAAACACGGATATGCACCTGTGGCTGTCACTAAGCCATGACACGGAGACGCGGCGCGACATACCATGACTTATTAGTCAGCATCGAAAAGAGGGAGAAATTGACTGAAATTGCTTCCTTGATGTATGTTTATAACAAAATATGAAATAAACTTTAAGTTAGAAACTTGTTTGTTTGTTGTTTAAATCTACACTCAGCAATATTCTAGCTATATGACGGCGGTCTGTAAATAATCGAGTCTGGACCAGACAATCCAGTGATTAACATCATGAGCATCGGTCTACGCAATTAGGTTTCGATGACATGCATGAACCAAGTCAACGAGGCTGACCACCATGTGCCGTCAACCACTTCTTACGACAAGCATGGCCATGTTTTCGAGGCAACGGATTTAACTGACTAAGAAACTGGACTTTAACAGTCAATTTAACTCCCTTGCCTCGGGAAGATGAGCATGGGTTGCTTAGGACCTATTCTAACCCGGATCTTCACGGGTACATGGTCATGCTGAAACTAATTAAATTCACTCACTCCCTCACCCACTGTTTTACACAAGTCGCTGGTCAACTGTATTGTTTGATGGCGTCAGAATGGAGGTAGGGTGACATATATAATAAGCTGACATTGTGACCAACCAATATACAATTTACTCGCCTTTAATTAACGTACTGAGAATCAAGGCATTATCAAGAGCCAGCAAGGATCAATGTTTGAGTGAGTGAGTTGGTTGTAACGCCCTACAATATTTCATATCAAGGCGCCGCGATTCGCTGTGCAGAGTTGCGTCCCTTGGGCACGCCAGAAACCTATGATTGTGGGTTCGAATCTCGGTTCGCCCCTATTATGTTTGTAGGTTTGTCAGCACCATACACGTGTTCCCGGGTTTCACCGAAGTGGTAAACGTCTGAGACCTGCATCACTTCGGGCTTTCATCCCACATTAAGCTAACACGCCGTGATATAACTAGAATACTGTTAAAAGTTGCGTTAAACCCAACTCAGGAACTCACTCACTCATATCAAAGCGCATATATGCTTGCTGTGAGATGACCAAATAGACACAGAACATAGTCTTTGACAAAACACGAAGATCTGAGTATAGTGGTGGAAGAACAAGGCTAATAGCCAGGGAATCGGAACAACGGATCCTGGGGAGCTAAGGGACGTAACTCTGCATAGCGAGTTGCGGACACCAGGGCAATAGGTCCACCCGCCCCACCTTAATATCAGAGGGTATGTCAATGTAGAACTAGTAAAAAGGCACGACCAGTCACAATGTATGGAAAAATACTTACTAGTGGTCATGAAAGTTATCAGACACGTTCTTTTGAATGAAAATCAGATTTGTTATTTTCAACACGCCAAATATTGTATTAAGGCTGACATGTTTTAAGAAGGTTGAGTTTAGGGGATTGCGGGAAGGTCTAATAATGAGTGAGTGAGTAATTCGTCACCCAAGTTTATTTTCTAAGGAGATACAGGCAATCACAGTACAAACATATGTTGGGAAGTGTGTGTGTGTTGGGGGGGGGGGGGGGGGGGGGGGGGGGGGGAGGTTGTGGTTGTGGTCACGGACTTGCCCAGTTAGATTTTCATAAATTGACTTCTTCCCCTCATTTACGCAGAGACTTTATGTAAATCCTATATACGAGTAGGTTCTTGGACTTTAGTCATACTTTTGTCTTGATCATATCGCGAGTTCAAAACTTGTACTTGATGTAAATTTCAAAAATCAGTGACCCATTGATATAATTGTCACCGCTAATTTACCTTTTACGCCCAGTGGAATGTGTTCCGAGAGAAAATTGAGACGAGTTATTCTCTGGCGTTGACGTTTTATCTTTATAGGTCTACTATTGTAACATAAGCAAGTTTCTGACCAAGCTGTTTTTTTCTTGGGAAGTGTAGACAGTGCAAACATTGTCAAATAGTCCTCGGGGCCATGGGTTTGATCATATTCATGATCACGTGGTGGCACGTGATCCTATGCACAGCGCACAGGTCACAAATCAAGCAACGTCGGTCGCCGAGAGTCCTTGGACGGGTGACCGAGTTCGGCCTGAGAGTTTCTAGGGCTTCGGTCCTGCCCCACACTGAAGCACATGTAGCACATGTAGCAAATGTGGTGCCCCTTGGGCAAGTGACTTTGTTTTAATTGTGCCTCTGTTCTCTGGTTGTTAACCTTCTTAACAGGCAGCTTGGTTTGTATACTCCCCAGGGAGCTGAGAATGATTGTTAAGTGCACACTGATCCATTGCTCGGGGTAATAAATGTGTAAGCGCTTAGGGCATGTTTATGTTTGGAGTACAGTCATATAAATGGACTATTATTATTATTATTATTTGCTCTTGAACTTCAGAATATGAGCCTTTTTTACCCATTTAGTCATATTTGTGTATTTGATCATGTCATGCAATTGTGGGAAGATAAAAGACATGCTTTCAGCCATTTCAACATGTCTGATAATTTTCATAGCAATATTTCAAAGGTATTCGTAAGTGTAAACTATTCAGGGCATTTCTTGTGGGCCAAAAGGGCTCTTATCCTATTTCGTCCTTTATCTGTAACTTTAAAGTTTGACATTTCCAATCGGTTAAAAAACGCCGTAGCATACCTCGTGTAGTATATGAACTTCTTTCAAACACCAGGCTTTTTTCAAGCGAGTGCTGCTGAACACATCCCATTACACTGACACACAGCACGTGCTCAGCATGGATAAGGTGGACCTGTGCTGGGTTGTTTGGTTCTTATATTGTACATCAAATGTCATAATAGAACCACTATAACGCGACCTGTATCGTTAACCTTACTGGCGACAGGCTGTGTGCCGCTTCCGTGTTTTTGTAATATACATTAATGGATGTTTGGCGCTTTAGCCGAAGACGATATGAGAGTACGATGGGTCTTCAATCACCTCTGCAATAACGCTGTAAGACATGATCTTGACTTGTAGGATCTTATTTTTTTTCTGTTAAACGGTTTCGACTGATTCCATTTCCAGTTCGCTGGGTAGCATTCAAATATGGCGTAGCCAGAATCCCTCACTTACACAAACTCACAAACAGGTTAGATCTAATACCCGATCAAGGATATTTTTACTACCGTACCGTGTCAAGATTTGCCGTTCTCCTATTGACTCCTTTGTTCACCCGTGAAGATTCGGGGTAGGATAGGTCTTCAGCAACCCATGCTTGCTGTAAAAAGGCGACTATGCTTGTCGTAAGAGGCGACTAACGGGATCGGGTGGTCAGACTCACTGACTTGGTTAATGCATGTCATCGATCCCAATTGCGTGGATCAATGCTCATGATGTCAATCACTGGATTGTCTGGTCCAGACTCGATTATTTACAGACCGCCGTCATTTAGCTGGAATATTGCTGAGTGGGGCGTTGAACAACAAACAAAGGAAAAGAACTCCTTTAATCGTTGTGTCAGAGAGAGAGTGGGTGAGTTGTGTTTACGCCGCTTTGGGCATAATTCAGTTATATCACGGCGTGTCAGTTCACCTAGTGTGTCATCATGGTATGGGGTGGGGGTGGGGGGTGGGGGCACGGGTGGCCCAGTCGTCTAAGGCGCCGCGATTCGCTGTGCAGAGTTGCGTCCCCTGGGCACGCCGGAAACCTATGATTGTGGGTGCGAATCCCGGTTCGCCTCGATTATGTTTCTAGGTTTGTCAGCACCATACCCGTGCTCGTGGGTTTCACCGAAGTGGTAAACGTCTGAGACCTGCATCACTTCAGGCTTTCCTCCCACATTTAGCTGACACGCCGTGATGTAACTGGAATACTGTTAAATGCGGCGTCAAACCCAACTCACTCATGGCATGGCGAGTACGTGTGGTAATGTTGTTTTGCCGCCGCAATATTACAGCTATATCACGGCTGCCTGTAAACGGAAACATTAGCAACGATGTACAGCATCCGTGACACACAGTACGCCAAGGCACAGAGCCTGACTAATCGTTCTCATCTAGCCTCTTATACAGCATTGGAGTGCTGAGAACCTACATTCCAACCCAGGTCCCCAATGTATAAAATGTTGCTCATATTATCGCGACCCGTGAATATTCCGGGGTAGAATAGGTCTTCAGCAACCCATGCTTGCCGTGGTGACTATGCTTGTCGTAAAAGGCGACTAACGGGATCGGGTGGTCAGACTCGCTGACTTGGTTGATGCATGTCGTCGTATCCCAAATGCGTGGATCGATGCTCATGATGTCAATCCCTTGAATATCTTGTCCAGGCTTGATCATTTACAGACCGCCGTGATGTAGCTGGAATATTGCTGAGTGCGGCGTTAAACGACAAACAAACAAATCCTAGTTGTGTCATTTGACCAATTGAAGTAAGGAAAATCTTTCTAAACATAGAATCTCAAAGTCGAGTAATGGTGTCCGCAGTGTATACATGCTCATGACATTAATCACTGGACTGTCTGGTCCAGACTCGATTATTTACAGACCGCCGTCATATAGCTGGAATATTGCAGAGTGTCGTAAGACAACCAACCAATCATATGATCGGCCTCCAGTTTGCCTGCTTTATACTAGTTGATAACTGCGGCATCGAAACCCATTTCCTCACCCATGCAAGACTGATTAATTTTCCAAATGTTGCATACTCTTTTGAACTTGAAACGTCCAACAATGAACATGGTTTATGTGTCCTTATCGACTTATTGCTTGTCAAACAATTATAGCGCATCTAAAGTGCTGTATTGTGGCGACAATACACTGAATACATGTGACACTTTTATGTGCAGTTTGACATTCTTCAAAGTTTCTATATTTACTGGCTGTACATTAACTATACCGACTGTATCGTGCCACTTTATGGATCCGTTTGTTAATTTGTGTTCGATTCCTTTGAAAACCTGTTACACAATTGACCTTAAAGATCACCACTGTGCATGAAGTCAGCTTATATGGTCGCGCATAGCCAAGTGGTTGACGCGTCATATTTCGAGTGGAACAAACACCGTTTTCCGTACTGTCACCGGGTGAGAATAGTTTGCGGCACATGTGATTCATCTCTTTTACAGGACATGCAGGTCACGATTCAAGCCTCAATCAGGACAAATGATATTTCACTTTTTGGAGTACGTATTCCTTAAAAAATAAAAACAGGTCTGAAACACAACAATGGAGAAGGTCTGAAAACGAAATACAACGAAAGGTGCAAGATGTGGAATCGCTCAAGGTTGCACAACATGAAATGCAAATTAGTCCAAATAAATATATGACGCGTCACAGGAGGATTCAGAAGCAACATGTTGCCGTCTTAAGTTTTAATGTCGCCTGTTGTGCCTCGTAGCTCGCTATAATAATAACCAGCGGCAAACAAGTGATTTATGAAGCCCTCTTGTCAAGCAATGTCACAGGTAAAGAGACACGCCACCGTCCCGCCACTGACATTAACAGACGGGCTGCTTTGGACTGAAAACTGTAACCTTTGCCTCGTTGGAGTGAACAGTTCTGGTGTAGAGGTGAATATGCTATGGGATCTCTACGACAAATGACAGTTTCAGTAATATAAGGTGAGAATGTGTTGTCCCTTTGTAACACCTTAACGGGGTCACTTGGACTATTTTTGCATCAACGTATCTGACTCGTAGTGTCGCCATTGTCAAACATGTCAGTGTGTTAAGAGCATCCCACATAGCTGTACCTCAAAACGATTAACAAATATGTATTGTTTATATCGCCCCATATGTACAGGTTCGTCATACTATAGGGGTGATTCACCACTTAAACGTCTCCCTTTCCTCAGATGAAATAATAGTCACGTTTTAGTTTGTCATGTGTGAAAGTAACATTATGTTCATAAATATATCAAGTCTAATAAATGAAACTTATCGTTCTCTGACAATATATGTTAACTATCAGCGTGTATATGTCATAAGAGTTCACAATGTCTTGTTTTGCAATGTAAAATATTATAGGATAAATGTGTTTCCTAGTGGTTAAAGCGTTCGCTCGTCACGCCGAAGACCCGGGTTCGATTCCCGACATGGGTACAATGTGTGAAGTCCATTTCTGGTGTTCCCCGTCGTGATATTGCTGGAATATTGTTAAAAGCGGCGTAAAACCATACTCACTCATTAATTCATATTCTCATATTTTTTGCGTTCGTGACACATTGAATCAGGTAACTGTACTCCATCATAGATGTGAAGAAGTACTATTGTTTTCCCTAGTATCTAGTATTTTATTCATGGATATCACCACACAAGCGCATAATTTGATCCGCGTATTTTAGTATGTACAACATTCACAACGTATAACTTACCTTCCCATAGGATGTCACAGGTCACGGACCTGTTATTGTGAAGGTGTGCGGGACGAATAGTTATGTGTGTGTGTGTGTGTGTTTGGCTTTATATAAGGCAGAATTAGAAAGCCGACACCATATAAACTGTCTGACATTTTGAGGCAGTTTACGAATTGACAGATTGCGTTGTAGTATAACAGCCCGACCATTGTGATGCTACTTCCGGTAGCGCATCCGCTGCGGCAGAAAGTCACGTTGGTCACATTGCGATCATTTGGGGGGCCGGGCAGGCGTTACAGGCAATCGTGGCTCGAGTACCTGTGTCTTACACCCCGACCCTGGCCGATTTCAACAGTGATATGCCGACAAAAACTTTATCTAAGTCAAAATGAGTCCAGACACAACCCTTTCTCGTCCATGCCTGCAAAATGCATGTTCCTGGTATTAATGGAGTACAATTGTGAGTTATCTCCCCTCGTCGGGCCCCGCGAGTTCTTGACGTAAGTAGGCCTATATACGTACTCGAGTCTGCGCCCTAGCATTTGCTATGTGTTTGCGAAAATTACATGGGAGCATGGGCCTTGGGCATGAGAAATCGTGTGAAAGATGTAACCAAACTTTTTAAAGAAACATGTTTATGTCACATGTGTATAATGATATGCGTACATTCGAAATACATAAGTAATTATGAATTACTTTTAAAACATTCCTAACTGTAAATTATTACAGTTAACATGTTTATGTTATTCGGCAACAATCATAACAGGACCTCCTGTCCTAGACAGGTATATCTGCCATAGAGCGCTTGCGCTCCTCGCCTAAAGCCGCTAGGAGGCGAAGGGCAGGGTTCCAGTCTAGCTCCATCCGACCCATGTCCCCATACATCATTTCGCTGCCGTGAAATTGTGAACCATTTCCGTGAAACGGGTTTGTCTGTCGAGAGGACGGAGACAGGCCAACAGCAAATCGCTATGTGCGAAACGCTGACCCATTTCAGTGCAGCGAGGTGTTAGCAAGTTTGGACAGTGTGAATAATTCACGTGTCAGGCTACAGGAGTAACATATTATCACTAGTGAGGTAACTCTCATATAGAAGTATGGCTCATGGTTAATAAACAACACACAACAATGGGTTTTTTAATTTTACCAATATCTGCATGTCTCCATGTGCATAGCTTCTTCATTAGAAAATATCGTTACAACATTGTAGCAATTAATTTGATAACATATATTAATAGTGAGTGAGTGAGTGAGTTGGGTTTAACGCCGCTTTAAAAGTATTCCAGTTATATCGCTGCGTGTCGGCTTAATGTGGGAGGAAAGCCCGAAGTGATGCAGGTTTCAGACGTTTACCACTTCGGTGAAACCCACGAGCACGGGTATGGTGCTGACAAACCTAGAAACATAATCGGGGCGAACCGGGATTCGAACTCACAACCATAGGTTTCTGGCGTTCCCAAGCGACGCAACTCTGCACAGCGAATCGCGGCGCCTTAGACGACTTGGCCACCCGTGCCCCCACATATATTAATAATTTTACCACTGTAGATATATCAATGTCAACAGTATCATGTCTTCCACTATGATTGTGTCATCTTAATATTCCATGTTCCTGGAAAACAATAACAAATGTTTTAGGAAGTCATTGTTTGGAAAACATATTACTAGTTTTGTTTTCATAATATGTGTGTTTTCTAACTTTATATTACATAAATATTTAAACTGAAATGAATCATATTCTCATTCCTGATTCTGAAGGTACCACATGCAGGTTACAATTTGTTTCCTCCTCTGGGTTACACATGTGGCTCTATCCCAATATAGGTACTTGATCAGTAGGTAGGTATGCTAGGAAATACATTTGTGCCATGTTGATTCTCTGGATCAAAGTTGTCTTGTTACTGATTGTTTTGCATAATAATTAAGATATCCTACGAAAACGACGAAAAAGGTCACGAGTAGGACAACATATCTTTACACATCAAAGTGACCGTAAGGGACCGACCATTTGATAATCTGGAGGGTCCTGGGAGTTTTATCGAACATAATAAAATGACTTCAGACTGTTGAAAAAAAATGACTGCCTCAAAATATAAATTGTTACAAGGTGCTTTGCTTACAGGCTCATAGTTTTTTGCTTACAAGCTCATATTTTTAAATATTTTTTTCGGATGTTGTACCTTTGCAGTTGTAGCTGAAAAATATCTAATCTCGATGCAAAATTCCAGACGTCTGTTTACACCATGCTGAGTTACGTCCCTTAGGTGTGCCAGAATCCACTGATCGTGGGGTTCGAATCCCGATTCGCGCTGATTATGTTTGTTGGTGGTTTGTCAGCACCATACCCTTGCTTGTGGGTTTCACCAAAGTGGCAGAAGTCTAAGACCTACTTCACTTCTGTCTCTATTCAAGCTGACACAGTTCACATCGGCGTTAGAGTCAGTTTACTCACATACTAAGATATACATAGAACTTTTTGTTTACGGTTCGGACTCTCTGGTCACAGGCATGTTTGCGTGAAAAGCGGGCGAATATTACCTGTCTGTTGGACATGTCAAATGTATAATCATTCAAGAGGGTCAGTATTCTCAAAGCCATTTTCGCCATGGTGTTCGATACAATACAACAACGCGTTTTCATGATCGTGAATTCAGGCTGTGGATTTGATTGACATGTATATGTGTATGCAGTAATGTATGGCCCAGAACATTCACGTGTTTCGTAAAATATACCACGTTTATATATGAATATATACGGCGTTTATTCGCTCAGTACGGACATCTAGCATCCTGCATCGAAAACCGGTACGTGAGATGATATTATAATGGCAATCTATTCAAACGCTGCATAACATCTTTCAGCGAGGATCTTTAATCTTGCTTTCTCTCACAAACATATTTCATTAAGTGAGTTGGGTTCAACGCTGCTTTTAACAGTATTCCAGTTATATCACGGCGTTTCAGCTTAGTGTGGGAGGAAAGTCCGAAGAGATGCAGGTCTCAGACGTTTACCACTTCGGTGAAACCCACATGCACGGGTATGGTGCTGACAAACCTGGAAACGTAATCGGGGTGGACCGAGATTCGAACCCACAATCATAGGTTTCTGGCGTGCCCAAGGGACGCAACTCTGGAAAGCGAATTGCGGCGCCTTAGACGACTGGGCCACCCGTGCCCCCTATTTCATTTAACCAAAAATGTACAATAGGTTACCAACATTCTGTTGCTTGAGAGGAGCGGAAGTATTGGATCAGGTGGTTGGTGATTTGGCTAGCTGCGGGTCATGGTGTACCTGGCGGCGTCTGACGTTACTCATAACTTGTTTCTATGGACCGGACTCGATTATTTGCAAGGCAAAATAATAATTATAAGTGAGTGAGTTTAGTTTTACGCCGCTTTTAGCAATATGGCGGCGGGGGACACCAGAAATAGGCTGTACACTTTTTGGGGAATCGAACCCTGGTCTTCGGCGTGACGTGCGAACTCTTTTACCACTAGGCTACCCCACCGCCCCAACAAACAACATGTAGATAACGGTTTCTTGTTGTATGACAGCATTATCAAAACGGCCTGTAAAACATCGAGTCTGAAGCAAGCAGACCAGTGATAAACACCAAGGACATGAATGAGGATCCAGGCAGTCGGGCGTATGATAACACTCAATCAATCAGGGTGGACAAAACAACCTTAGCGCTACAACTGTCGTAAGTCTATGTTAAGTATGGGAGTTACGATCATCTTAGGGCTAAGATCGCTTTGTACAACGGCACCCAGGTCACACATTGTAACCAGTCCATCATCGTTTTGGTCAGTTTTGCAAACAACGCAGGGGACATCTAAGCCTACTTCTGTCCCGAAATCCACAACACAGCCGATATTTATCATCAACAAATCACAAGGATGTATGTATAAAGGAAAGGGCTGATGGATAATCTTCGAAAAGTGCAAAATATTTAGAATTGTTATGAAAGTTATTCGATATGTTTATTTAAATGAGAACTAGACTTGGTTCTTTTAATGCGTGTTTTGGATTTAAATACATACACTAGGCGAAACTATGTCGAAAAGAGAAACACTAGAGCCACTGTTGGTTACTTGCACATGCCAGAGGTGTAAGAAGAAAGTTGGCAAATTGTCAACTATTTGAACATGCCTAATAATTTGATAGCATTAGTTTTATATAAGTTTTCCTTATCTCTAAAATTAGACCTTTCTAGTGAGCAAATAAGGGCCCTTATCCTGCTTCGTACTGTAATAAACCCGTGAAAATTCCGGGGTAGAATAGGTCTTCAGCAACCAATGCTTGCCGTAAAAGGTGACTATGCTTGTCGTAAAAGGCGACTAACGGGATCGGGTGGTCAGGCTCGCTGACTTGGTTGATGCATGTCATCGATCCCAATTAGGTGGATCGATGCTCATGATATCAATCACTGGATTGTCTGGTCCAGATTCGATTATTTACAGACCGCCGTCATATAGCTGGAATATTGCTGAGTGCGGCGTTAAACAACAAACCAAACAAACAAACACTTTGTAATATATCAATATATGTTATCAGAATTATCTTCAAGCATGTCACCGTGTCTGACATTTCCAACGAAAAAAACACGAACTAACAAGATCTAGCAAATATGACTCCGTTCCGAGATGTTTGTGTTGAAAGACGACTACAATGAAACACGTCGATTCCATTGGGCGATTGTCTTTCTGCCATCTACTTGCTTCCTCTTGTGATATTTAACTCACTGATTACTTCTGTTAAAATCTGTCTCCTGGATTTGCCTCATATATCACGTCAAGTCCAGAGAATAATCAGTCTCGATTATCTGCCGAAACAGATTCCATTGGGGGAAAAAGACAAAATAGTTGTGGAAATTATATAAATGGATCATTAAAACTGTGATGACACCAGGTGTTCGCGAAAAGGGTAAGCATGTCCTGCCCTACAGGTAGCATCCGCTACTCGCAAATTGTGTAAAAAATAAGTGTATGTTTGACACGTCATTCACTCATAACCTCTATGCATACATGCTTTTTAATTGTTTTTTCACTCGATGATATCTTGTTTTCCATGTTCCAGGTTAGCAAATCCGGAACCAAGATGGTGGATATCACTTCCGGCATCACGCTGAGACCGATTTACAGCCGTCTCATCAGCGAGCGAGGGTCAACTAACATACAGTCCGTCTCTGTCGCAAACCGCAGCACAAAGTATGTGTCGGACATTTGTACAACACTCATCGACATCCAGTGGCGTTGGAATCTGTTGCTATTCTTTGGGGGTTTCACATTGACATGGCTTATCTTTGCCGCCTACTACTACCTACTGGCCTATGTGCATGGAGACTTATTCAAAACCGACGATGACTGGTTGCCCTGTGTTGAAAATATCCAATCATATGCATCGGCGTTTCTTTTCTCGATTGAAACGATGACAACGATTGGTTATGGGTATCGCTACGTGACTGAAGCTTGTCCTGGGGCTTACTTAGGTGTCATAGCACAGTCAATACTTGGAGCAGCATTACAGTTTGCATTGGCCGGGCTCGTAGTTGCCAAAGTGAGACGATCCAAGAAGAGATCTGGCACGATTCTTTTCAGCAAAGTGGCTTGTATATTTGCAGAGGATCTCAAACTTCGGCTAGCAATAAGACTTGGCGACATGCGCAAGTCTCATATAATAGGAGCACACGCACGTGGTTATTTTATCCTGAAAACCTTCTCTAAAACTGGTGATAAGATCCCTGTACAGTATTTCAATATGGACTTCAGATCAGAGGGAGGGGATGAACGGCTTTTCCTGCCGTGGCCCACGTTTATCGTCCACAACATTAACGAAGAATCCCCCTTGTATAATCTGTCTAGAGATGATGCCATGCAGGAGAACTTTGAACTGATAGTTGTCCTGGAAGCAGTATCTTCAACAGTCAGCGCCTCGTTCCAAGTAAGGAAGTCCTACCACCCATGGGAAATTAAATGGGGACATAGATTTCTTCCTCTAGATGTCACATACCAGGACATGTTTGATGAACATATCATAGACTACGAACACTTCCATGACACCAAGGCTGTTTCTACTCCCATGGTGAGCGCCAAGGACATTGATGAGATGACTGTGCAAGGGAACCTGTCACCGGAGAACCTTCAGAGAAGACGAGATTCTAGAGCTGAGAGTGATCTGTTCTTCAGACAGAAGACAGTCTCGGACACGTTCCTGGGTGCGGAGGAGGACCTGAGTGTGAGTGAGTTTTCCATGTCAGACACCATGTCATTGCAGGAGAAGCTGAGGAGGATAAGTACAGTTACTTACCACGGTCCAGGAACATTCGAGAAGAGGATGACGATGAGAGATGTGTTCAGAAGCCCTCCCATAGCTTATAACAGGACAAGGAGACACAGTACAGGGCAGTTTCTTGATAGTATAATCCGAAATCGTCGTCCCAGTCATGATTTGTCTTTAAGTCGTCGTCCAAGTCAAGATTCATCCAGTCGTAGACCTAGTCAAGATCTGACTTTCAACCGTAGGACTAGTTGTTTCGATTTTGTTCCGACTAGAAGACACTCCAACATTTCGATGAGTGGGGAATCAAGTGATTTGGCTTCTATAGACGAGCAAGAATACACAGATGAGTTTAAGCTTCACGAAGAAAGTGGTCCGAGGTATGTTAAAAGGAAAAAGGTGACTTTGAACACTACACCCATCACCGAGACTTTGAGGAAGAGAAGTGATCCTGGGATGTCCTTCACAAGGCCTCAATCTGTGTTGCACCAGAGAAGAAGACATAGCACTTGGCAATTTGCAGAACAGGATTCTTTCATTAGAAACTACCAGCAAATCCATCCCGAATTGTATCTAGGTCCACATCTGGAGGTAGACGAAAGTGGGCACTCTGATGAACCAGATTCCGACCTTGGGGGTGCTGCTCAAGAGAAACCAAGTCTTGATGCTGATAATAATGTAAATGCACTTGGAGAAGCAAATAAAACCCGAGTCTCATCATCGAATGAAGGGACCACAGTGGAAGAGTTAGGCGATGACAGGATCGTTATAACAGGGTCTTTCAAAAAGAAATATATTGTGGAGAAGGTACCTGAAATTGTGATAGACGATGTTTCCACTTTAGCTGCGGAGGGGGCTGATTTACATACGACTATGGGAGTTTCGGAAGAGGCTTTGCGGGAAGAAGCTGGGAAAGCAGATGTGGTGGGAGACGACGTTGTGGAAGAAGACGAGGAAGATAAAACGTGTCCAGAATACGAGAATACCCCATCATCTCCCGAGACAGAAACCACACTTACTGACGTGGTCAGCAACCCTGATGAAGTAAACTTCGCCTATGTGTATGATTCGGAAGACGACATCGGCTACAGAGAAAACATCTTGCCTGAGGATGAAATGGAGCAGAGTCAGAATGTCAACTATGGCTTTGAGTCGGACGATGAGCTGGTGATGGACGACAGGAAGGATAAACTGGATGAGGAAGAAAGGAAGGAAGGATGAGAAGGGAGTATCCATCACTTACATAAAGGATATGGTTGCTACTTACAAACATGTATTAGCTGCGTCCCCGTCATATCGATACACCGAGCGTTCCTAACCACGCGATAACCGATACTGTGATATTTGAACTGTAAAGAAGCGAACGTTGACATGCTTGTCAGCTACACGGAAAAGCAGACCTTGAGTCAGTTATCATTTATTTTACAAATGTGCTGTGAAAAAATTTACCTGTGCTCAAATAGATGAACTGTGCTCACATCTCCTGTAGATAACAAGAACTGAAAAGCTTTCAAGAGTGGACAGTCCTTCACTGGTGTATCCCCTGTGGGGTGGTCAAAACCTTCACTGCGCGCCCTGTGGTGATTAGCGATGGACTATCTCCCCAGAGCCTCGTGCATGTAGGTTCCGGCTAAAAGGGGGACTTGATGGTCAGCTTCTCTGTGTGTTCGTTGTTTTTCGCCGCTCTCAGTTATATTCCACCAATATGACGGCGGTATATAAATCATCGCGTGTGCACCAGACAATCCAGTGATTGATATCATAAGTATTGATCTACGCAAATGGAATACGATGACATACATCAACCAAGTCAAGCCTGACCACCCGATCCCGCTAGTCGCCTCTTACGACAAGCATGGGTTGCTTGAGACCAATTCTGACCCGGGTATTCACGGGTTCAGCTTCTGTATATACCTTGGTACAGCGTGTCATTATGTCACGACGGCGTGGAACGTTGCCCGTGCTTTCACTCACAAATTTCTTTGGTCCGGATTTAATTATTTTTCAGCCTGTGTGATATAGCTCGAGTATCGCTGTCTTTGGCGTTGAACAAAGTTTGCTCATTCATTCGCCTTCAACTATGCGCGACCCGTGAAGATTCCAGGGTGGAATAGGTCTTTAGCAACCTATGCTTCCCGTAAAAGGCGACTAAGCTTGCCGTAAAAGGCGACTAACGGCATCGGGTGGTCAGGCTCGCTGACTTGGTTGATACATGTCATCGATCCCAATTGCATGGATCGATGCTCATGATATCAATCACTGGATTGTCTGGTCCAGACCCGATTATTTACAGACCGCCGTCGTATAGCTGGAATATTGCTGAGTGCGGCGTTAAACAACAAACCAACCAACCAATCAACTGTGCGCACTTCAAACAACTTGACATTAAAGTCGGTGCCTTTTATAGTCGTCTCTATGCTAGTGGGATAAAAGAAAGAAAACAAACTACACTCTAAACTTCTGTCTATCCTCTCCAAGAGAGAAAAGTAACCGGATTTTTTTACTTGTGCATTGAAAACAAACAGAACAGCATATGAGTATAGATTTAAATTCATTTTACAAAAATAGAAATCGTAATGATTCAAAATGGTATCAGAGTGAATGGGTTGGTTGATTTTCAGTCTCATCTCGATTTTGGTAGTGACCAAGGTCGTAGTATAGTGGTGACACAGTCGGTTCTGAATCTTGTTCAGTACCATCCTTGCACAGCTAGAGACACAACTCTACATGGCGAATTGCGGCGGACCAGACCCCTGGGGCGGCCGAGTACTGCGATGACAGACTTTGCATACTGTGTGTAATATGCTCTATTACTCCATGTGTATATGTGTTGTATCATATGATGATGTATATATTCTATTTTCATACTTCTGAAACAAAACACAACCTCTGAGATATACTCTGAAAAATACACTGATTCGTTGGTTATAGGGAATTGTTGATGGATTTCTAAAGCAAACACTCTTGGGGACTGTGATCCTCATTTACTAAGCAGAGAGCGTATTGTTTGTTTGTTTGTTGTTTAACGCCGCACTCAGCAAAATTCCAGCTATATGACGGCGGTCTGTAAATAATCGAGTCTGGACCAGACAATCCAGTGATTAATATCATGAGCATCGATCCACGCAATTGTGAACTATGACATGTATCAACCAAGTCAGCGAGCCTGAGCACCCGATCCCGTTAGTCGCCTTTTACGACAAGCATGGGTTGCTGAAGACCTATTCTACCCCGGATCTTCACGGGTCAGATAGCGTATAAGATCGCTGTGGCGATGGTTTTACACACTGACTCGCCATCGACAAACGGTGAGTGAGGGCATGTGACATGTTTACATCGCTTTTATCAATATTCCACGGCGGTGGACATGAATTGACGTCACACATTGTAATCGAACTCGGGTTTCAGTGTGCCGAGCGACCGCCTCACCACTAGGCTACATCACCTCACAGGTGAAACTAGGTCGAGTCTAGTCCCTTTTAGCCTGTGTGAACAATGGGGCCGGTAACAGGAAGGTGAGGTGAAATGGGGTTGAACATCGCGTTCAAAGTTTTAGCACTTATTTTATAAAGCGATGTTGGTATGTGTGTTTCTTGCACCAGTCCGGAATTGTGCTGGTTTTCGGGTGCTCTCCCGCTGAGATACCATGCCGCGGTTTAACATGAATACCCCACTCGGACACCTGACGTGTGAACTGCGCGCACTTCGTGACTTGTGTGACCCGTGAAGATCGGGGTAGAATAGGTCTTCAGCAACCCATGCTTGTCGCAAATGGCGACTATGCTTGTCGTAAGAGGCGACTAACGGGATCGGGTGGTTAGGCTCGCCTACTTGGTTGATGCATCCCAATTGCATGGATCGATGCTCATGATGTCAATCACTGAAGTGTCTAGTCCAGACTCGATTATTTACAGACCGCGGTCACATAGCTGAAATATTGCTGAGTGCGGCAAACAAACAAACAAACAAACAAATCGTGACTTGTGTATTATTTGTGCCCCGCCCACTTTTTTCACATCAGGGATCCGCCTCCGTGCCAACCAGTTCTTGTATTAGCCGGCCAGTTCTTGTATTATCTCCATTATGCCAAGCGCCAGGCAGGGTAATAATATCATCTTACAACGTCTTTTGGTATGACGAACCACCGACCTCCGGACAGAAGCTCTATCCACAAGACCACGGTCAGCTTGACTAATTGCGTAAAGAACTGAAAAACACTATCAATCATTGTCATAAACAAGGTCTGGCATGTTATTTGCGTATGTTTTACGTAAACGCCAGGTTACGTAAACGGTAATTAATTATACACTGGCATGAGCGGACGCCCACTTTCGTCTACCGTCTCGTTTCATCTACAGTGTTATCAAAACCAGTAATTAGAAGGGTAATAAGCTGATCCCTTCAGACAAATAGTGGACCAACCCGTGTAAGATGAGTTAAAGAATATTAAGAGAGAGTTTCATTTATACTGAACCGCAAAAGAAACGTCACCCCAAGTAACATTGCATGAAAAGTTGTCATTTAAATATCTGGATAATTTTTGTCAAAGTTTCTAAAATTTAACATAACTTTGTCCTGAAAAAAGAAATTTGATGATAAATAAACAAAGCAGATGACAATAAAACCGATCGCCCAAACGCATCACGGCAACGGCCATGGTAACCCGATGCACGTGAGTTCCGTGCAAATTGAAATGCACATGCGTTCCCTCATTTCTTGCCCCATAAAAATCCACCCAGATCGGATAACATTCATTCGTTATTGAATTGCTACCACATGCCAAGATTGACAAGAAATCAGCGACACCAAGCCCTTGGACGGCAAGTAGCCAGTGCATTTCAAGTCCACGTAAGGGCCATATACAGGGTCCAGCAACGGTACCAGAACACCAACACTACAGATGACCGACCACTAGTGGAAGATCAAGGGTCACCACCCGACGTCAGGATCGTCAGATTGTGCGACAGCATCTTCAAGATCCTTTTGTTACTGCTGCGGAAATTGCTCAACAGACCATAGGGACACACCAGCGACACATTAGTGCGGACGGACATCGTGCGTCGACGATTGACGAGCAGACACCTCCACTGTCACAGGTCACAGCGAGGACCCATTCTGACACCACGTCATCGCCGGTACCGTCTTCAGTAGGCAACACAGCTTCAGCATTGGCGCCACCAGCAGTGGAGAAGAGTCCTCTTCTCAGACGAGAGCCGTTACTGTATCTCAACAGCAGATGGCAGAGGGAAAGTCTGGCGACGCCGTGGCGAACGTAATTCGGATGCTTGTGTTGTTGAGAGAGACTCGTAGGGTGGTCCGAGCATCATGGTGTGGGGTGGAATTGGTCTTGCACAGTGGGTCGGCCCTGTGGTCTTCCAGAACATCGGTCCAGGGAGAGGCAATGGTGTCGCAGCAGCTCGGTACATTCAAATTCTAATTCAAATTACGCATTTATATAGCGCTACTTATCCAGACATACTGCCTGCTCAAGAGCGCTCAGTCGTATGCTCTTTTGGAGAGGATGGTCTTGAGTTTTGATCTAAAGGTGTTGACATCTTCAGATCCCCTGACATCAATGGGCAGTGCATTCCATAGAGTTGCACCTGCTTTTCGGAAGGTTCTGTCGCCATATGTTGTTCTGCTGGTTGGTGGAACAGCAAGCTGTAGTTTGTTTGCAGATCTCAGTGTTCGGCCAGGTTGGTAAAGGGCAGTGAGGTCCTGGAGGTATACAAGTCTTGAGACCACACGCCATACCTCATTTTGCACGTCGCCGCAACCACGAGTTTCAGCATGATAACGCCCGTGCCCACACTGCGAGAGCAACAAGAGACTTCCTCCGGCAGAATGGCATCAGAACCATGCAGTTGCCTGCCCTCAGTCCCGATTTAAATCCCATTGAGCACCTGTGGGACGAGATTCAAAGACGGCTAAATGACGTCCAACCAAGGCCGACAACTGCAGCTGAACTGCGTCAGGCGTTCTTCATAGTGTGGTCTCAAGTGCCTATGGCCCTTATCAACCGCCACATCCATTCCATGTATCGACGTTGGACGGCAGTCATCGATGCCAATGGCGGTCACACGAGATACTGACTTGTGGTGCCATTTTCTCAGAGACTAGTGTCGTGTTTCACTTTAAGAACATTTGACACTTTAATTTCAACCTTGATGATCAGTTTTTGCCAAGTTTCATATTTTTAATGTCTCAAAGTATGTTTACAGTGTTTTGACAAATAAGGTTTCTCATATATCTATCCAAGGGGACGTTTCTTTTGCGGTTCAGTATATCTATTATATACAATGATCAAAGAACGCATTTATAAATCATAGACTAACCCACGATGTAGTGATTACGGAAAATATGTCACGAGTGAAGTAATGATTTAAGTTCCGAGCTTTAAAACATTAATTTCACGACTGACATAGTTTTCGTTATCACTCGTACCGAGTGGGTTATTCTATTTATTACCCATAATCATATTAAAGACGTGTTCCAAGAAAAAAAACCTATTTCTGAGAAAAAATTGTTTTGTACTGCAGCAGCAGGTGAACAACCAGTATTAATTTATTTCTGAAAAATAACACTTAGTGGTCTGTACTGTTCAACAGTTGTTGACAATGGTGTAAGGATCTGCTCAGCTTCAAATGTGTAAATTGTGAAAAAAACAAGTATATACCTTCAGTCATGGTAACCTACTAAAACACATCTTCTGATGATTAATTGTTTGTTTGTTGTTTAACGCCGCTGTCAGCAATATTCCAGCTATATGACGGCGGTCTGTAAATAATCGAGTCTGGACCAGATAATCCAGTGATTGACATCATGAACATCGATCCACGCCATTTGGACCGATGACATGCATCAACCAAGTCAGCGAGCCTGACCACCCGATCCCGTTAGTCGCCTCTTACGACAAGCATAGTCGCCTTTTACGGCAAGCATGGGTCGCTGAAAACCTATTCTACCCCGGTTTTTCACGGCTCCTGACAATTATTTGACTCGGCAGTGTTTTTCAAAAATCTGTTTACTCAAAGGAAGGAAGTTAGTTAATTCTTGGCTATGAACTCCTATAAGTGTAAATATTTACTTTTTGTTGTTATTAGTAAGCCGAGTGTTAGTGTTCGGCATGAACAGTGGTTTAATGTGTTGTTTTTATACTAAAATAACTGAGACGTATGAGAGACAACTCGGGAGA